TAATAGAAATACATACTCAGATGTCAAAATCCAAGTACATTGACATCACTCTCATTTGTATAATCAGGATTAGTTTATATTTCCTGACAACAAGGAGAGATGGGAATCCAAATGGTTGCTTCTTGATCTTTTTTCCTTTGAAAAACTCTTTGAGATGATTCTATATTAATAAAGTTAACTGTATAAAGGTAACAAGAAAGGTTTATTTGAGGAAAAAGACTCAGTAATATTGGATGTTAGTTAAATATGGACTCTTAAATGATCATTCCTTTTCAATAGTGGAATTTTATTGCTTCTCTTAGAGTTGTAAAGGGGAATGTAAAGAGCCCTCCAAACTACTGTATCATATCATTACATTTTTTTCAGTGCTTGGTCCTGATACATCAATCATTTTAATGCATAACCCAGCAGAAACAAAAGCCAGAAGTGCATGCTTCTGCTTTCCTTTTTTACTAATTACTACATCATTAGGGCCTATGGGATAGTTTAAATTTAATTCAGGAAGCAAGCACTGATCCTTTCCCCCTGCAAACAATCTACTGTTGCTGTAGGGATAAGTCAACATTACACTGATTGACAACCCTTATTTGTACTCTCTCTCCTTTGTTGGATTAAAAAAAAGAGAGAGTGAGCGGTTTGTTTCATCTGCATGAAAAACTATTTTAATTACCAGGGATAAAGGATTTGCAGTTTCAAGATAAACTTTTTATCGGTTGATTTGCCTTGCTAATGACTCCAAGAGGCGTGGAGATCAAGAGACAGCAAATTTTCTGATTCAAATTAAAGTTTATCTGAAATGGAAAGAGTTTCCCATTCCCTTTCCAGACAGACTGCTTTTCTCTTGAAGGTCTCTGTATCACACTGCTTGTAAAACCTCACTAGGGACAAATACACACACCTGTCAGTGGTAGTATATGAGACATCATTTTTCAGATGCTACTGAGGTGAGAAATGCAATAAGAGCAATCTTTATGGGTTCAAGTGAGAGCCAATACAAAATATTAGGATGCTTGAGCCCTACAATAGGAATTTAATATGTTGTATTCCTTAAAATGGACACAACATCTGTGTATTCCTTACAGGTCACAGAACATCTTTGGAAAAGGATTAGGTAGGTTTGCCCATGAGACTGTATTTGCATCCTTTTGGGCTCACTCATGGGAAATATGTCCACTGAAGTCAACATCTACAAGGCCTTGAAAATGAGGAGTTAAGGTTGCATGGGTAAACATTAAAATTAAGAGCCTGGTAGAACCTTATTTATAAAGACTACATTTTCACTGTCCCCACTAACCAAAAGTCTGCTAGTAATGATTCTTAAGAATCAATTATGTCACATAGGTATTGTCAAAGTAAGGTGGCTCTCTGGCCCTGCCCTCTTCCCCCAGGCATGTCCTTATCCTTGGGCAGCTGAGAAGTCCAGAATGCTGTCAGAATCCTCAGCTGCCCAGTTGAAGTACAGAGTGCCCTGCAAGGAAGTGCACTATGGGCAAGAATCTGGCCCATAGCATATACAGAGTTGTAACAGGGTTCCTTACCAGAATTAAAAACAGGTCCTATTTACCTAGGCAGAGGCAAAGCATGTGATGAGAACTTTTATGTGCTATCTAAACAAACCCCACAAATGAGAACTATACTGTGTAGATGGTCCTCTAATCAATTTTTAAAACATTCATTAACAGTTTGCTTGATTTAACAAAGTTTAACCTGCTTAGTAGTAATGAAGTCACCTTTTTCACAATTATTTTATAGTATCCATCCTACCCCCTTCTCCCAAAAGACAGTTAACAGGTGATCCAATGTCCATAAACTAGGATATTTTTGTACTGTTCATGTGGATGTGTATTTCACTAAGGGGAGGGGTCTCCCTCTAGAAATAAAATAGATGTATTAAATTATTTTAAATAGTATCTCATCCTACTGCCATTAAACTTGAATAGTAGTTCATTGAGATATTTGTAGATGCCTTGGTCTGATTGTGCAACATAAAAACACATCATCCTGTTCACCCCATTATTAAAAAAACAACCCTGTGAACTGGATGGTTCCACAGAAGTGTTATCAAATTTGAAAAATAAAGAGATGTTTTAACTTACCACTAATTTAGATAAGGACTGGTTGCAGGGTTATTTGTGAAATCCCCTTGTCTCTAAATTCCACTCTTGGCTGACCGATGCTGTAGCAACGAAGTTTGGCACCCAGGGCAAAGCCTGCAGCAGTAGCCTGCCCTCACCCTGCACATAGATCTGGGGGGCCGATCCCCCCGCTTGCCCAGGAGTGCATACAGCAGCAATGAGCCACCAATGAGCCACTCATGGCTGTGCAGCGCCTGTTGGCAACCCTTCAATTTGGTGCCCAGGATGGTTGCCCTGCTCACCCCCCCACCCCCTTGCTACAGCAATGCAGCTGACTCTGCCACACTAGAGAGAGAAATATGATTGTACATGTGTAACAGAGGGCATAACTGTGGATAAAGATAACAGACATATCCCTGATGGCAGAAGCTTAAGGCTGTGGGGTGGGACAGGTTGTAACCGAGGATAGTATTTGGCCTGCAAAATTGTTATTACTGATGCTCAGGCAGAAGGAACTGAGCATGTTTGTAGATCCTAGACTGAGGTTGCAGGGATCACAGTTGCAAACTCATATTTTTGCCTGTAAAATCACTCAGTTTGATTTGGGAATCCATAATTGAGACACAATACATGCAGAGGTCTTTCCAGAAGGCAGACACACTGTAGCGGGAACACATGTAACAGCTCCTTCCTCTCACTTGCCCATGTCCAAGGAAGGTTGCAGTGAGATTAATACCGGTAGAATTTAGGGGCATCTTGGAAGTGCTACCAGGAATAATAACTACACTAATCTCTTTTCGGCAACATTGGTTCCCTTAACATATTTTAAACCTTGTTTTATGCAGAAGGCCTTCCATACCCTCACATTTCTTAACCTTGAAATATTCACTGCTTTTGGCATCAAATGAATGTGGGTGTTTCTTAGCAAAGGCAACAATGAAGACAACAATGACATATCTACACTTATAAAGAAAAAGCCCACCACACAGGCTAAAGACCTGAACTTGCTCTCAATGAAGTCAATGGAGCTTTTGCCACTGATTGCAATGAGATCAGGTTCAGTCCAGGGTTGACCCATCCTATCCTATGAAACCTGCAGCCACAGGGGGCACCGCAGCCAAGGGGCCCCCTGCATCCAGCAGCTCACCACCCCTTCCCCCCTCTCCTCCCGGCCGCTGCCATTACTGGCTTCTTCATGGCAGGGGGCCTCAAAAAATTGTGGCCTCGTTCAGGCCTTGAAGTTTTTAAATGTACCCGCTACAACTGATTCATGAGATGGATGGTATTTATTGGATCAACAAGAGACAGAAAAACTAAAACTCACCTTTTTTTTTTTTAGGGGCTACTTGTAAAAGGCAATGTCAACTGCAATGCATGTGGGACCTCGGATAAAAAAGGTCCCCCAAACTGGCTCGGAAGGGCTGGTTTGGGGGGTAGTTTTTGGAGGATGCGGACGGGAGTTGTTTGTTTCCTTTCCCTTTCCCATTCGGGGGAAACAGGAGTAACTAAAGTGAGAGCATCATAACCATGTGTAAAGCACTGAAACCAAAACCCTGTTGTTAAAAGATGCATCATTCTAAATGCATGGGATTTTGATTCTTGTAATCCATGCAGCAGCGTGGCTATTAGAGGCAGGCGAGGGATCAGGTGACATCCACGTCAGGAGCGCGGAGCAGGCAGTCGTGTGGATTCCCACCCACACCCTCCATTCACGGCGCGGCGGGGCCGGGCGGGCTCCGCTAACCCCGGCGAGGAGCGCGCAGCCTCCCCGGCTCTGCCGAGATCAAATGGAGCTACTCAATCAGGGGATGCCATCATCCCCCTCCGCCCGGCAATTTCCACTATCAATAATTTAATCTACTCGCTGCAGAGCCAGGAGGGGAAAACCAGCAAGCGAGATTTGGGGGGAAACCCCCCCCCCATGCCCCCCAAACCAGCTCGAGGTTCCCGACCCCCAGCCAGTTGTGTGTGTGTGCGCGCGCGTGCGTGTGTGGGGTCCATCCCGCAGCGCCCTTATTTTTTATTTTAGCAAGTAGTTCCTAAAAATAAAAAGGGGGTTGCTTTTCTGCCTCTTGCTGTCGTAGAGAGAAAAGTCTCGCCGACTACCTAGCTTGTGTGAAAGTGCCGGGGGGGGGGGAAGGGAACGTCCGCGAGCCGTCATGAATAAACAATGCTCCTGATTATCTTGATTGCATTCTTAATAGGCAAACTCCGGAGAGGTCAGGGCGGGAGCTCTATTTAAGCTGCGCTGGCTCAGTTAATACGCGGGCGGGGAAACGAATGGGCTTCAGCTCCGGGAGAGAGATGGTGGTGTGCCTCTATCCTCCCAGGAAGGGGTGAGGAGGCTGCAGGGGGGCTGCCGCGAGAGGAGGAGGAGGAGGAGGAGGAGGAGGGGAAAAGGCAGCACGGTCGCTTCCCCCCTGGCGGTGTGTCTCTCTGCCCGGCCGGAGCAATAGGAGCCCGGGCGGGGAGATCTAAATAATTGCTGAGCCCGGAGCAGGCGAGGCTCGTGCGAGAGGCTCCACCCGACCAGGCTTTGTGCGCACCGCAAGGTACGAGGCGTCCCGCCGGGCCGGGGCGCGGGGCCCTCAGGCGGCAGGTGCCGCTGCCCCGCCCGCATCGCTGGGCTCAGCCCGCTCCGGCAGGCACCGAGGCCAAGCCTGTCCCCGAGCCCCTTGTCTTTCAGGTAGACCCCTCCCCCCATTTGTGGAGCCCCCTCCATGCCTGTGCTGGGCTGAGTTCTCCCATTCCCTCCTCCCGCGTTAAAATTCCGTGTTTTAGCGGGCTCTTTATTTACTTGTGACCCTCCGGTGTCATTGGACTCCCGGTCTTCAAGCTTCCCTGGCTAGGGCGCTCTCTGGGCCGCTGGGATTTGGCAGCGGGCAGCGCCGCCCTGCCTGGAGCTGGGGGGTGTTTGGGATGCTGGCGTGCGATGGAAAAAACTCCTTGACGGCAGCTGGGAATAATGCCTCTGCCCTCGCAGCTGAGGTACAAGTGAATGGGAAGATGCACTTGTTGAAACGTAGCCCTTGGCTGGGATGTGAAACGTGCTGGTTCCCAGAACTGGCGTGCCAGTGCCATCACGGCTTTGTCTTTCCCGTCTGCTCCGTGTGGGCTGAAGGCAGGCTAGGACTTCCCTTCCCGCTAGCTCAGCTGCCTATGTGCTCTGGGCGTTCAGTGGAGCCCGCTCTGCCCAAAGGAAAAGTTTCTGAATGTGAGTGAATGTCGATTGTCTCGGTGGGCTTCTGTTTGAAAACTGGGAAGTGAGGAGATGGGAATGCCCCCCCCCCTTTTAAATTCATACTTCTGTATTGAAAACTTTCCTCTTCCATCTGCAAAGGAATTGAGTTAGATGGTGAACATGTCTACATGGCCAAAAGCTGAATGAATGATTTAGAAGCCTTTTACTACCCTTCTGCTTTCCTTTTAATTTTACTTTTATAAGCGTAGAACAATGGGCAACAATTGTATGTTCCTTCTCTTTGTCCCTCCTCCTCCTTCCAGAGATGCTATTAGTGTCTTGACTTGAACATTAAAGTTAAAAAAAAAAAAAAAATGTACATTTTTACTTCCAGTTTATTATAGGTTGTTGTTTTGAGGTTTTTACAGTCGTGAGATCAATGTTCATTACTTATTTATGCTTCTAGTAACGGAGTTTTAATGTATGCAAGAAATCTATCCTAGTTACATATTCTCTTCAGCAAGTATTTATGTATCTTTAATTCATGGGTTGACAAAAATACATATTAATGAAACTCTCTGTAGTGTATCTGTACAAGCAAGGGACCAGACTGAGCCCCTTGCTGGCACAGGTGAGCAGTTTCATCCCAGTGTCTTGAGTAAATATTCATCAGCATAGATGAGGAGTTTGTACTTTACCTTGTATTCGGAGTATGTGATAGTATGCGACAAGGCCAATAATATTGATTTGGCACCAGATTCTGATGCAACTGACTTTATTTTGACTAGTTCCTTTAATTCTTGAATAGGATAGGCATGGTCTCACTGAAATCAATGAGTCTACTATGGAGTAAGATGCTAGTTTATGTGAGAAGAGCATCAGAACTGGCCCTTTCAGTATTTTCATTATTATAGGACCCAAACATAGCCTGGCCTGAATGGATGTGCAAGGATTTGTTGGGGCGGAGAGCAGCAGAAGACCTCTACTGCCTCTGTTCTGTTATACCACACCCTGGTTTGATATGCAAGAGGGGATACCAGTATACCAGGGCACGTGTGGAGTGAGCAGTTTCTAACTGCGCACATTGCTCTGGTGCAGGGTACCTCCCCCTTGAGATGTAGGGGGAAGCAGAAGGTGACATTCTTCTGATCTGTTACTGGAGCCCCAGAGTTGTGTGCTGTCCCTTGGGGCTCAGGGCAGTGCTACAACTTAGCTTAAGAAGTAATGTACCGTGAAAACAGCTGGTCACTCTTGCAGTTATTTTCTTAATGAAAACAGATCTAAGAAGAGCCTTTCTACAGTGTTTCCCTAACACAAATCAATTCTCTGCTGTACTACTACCACTTAATGTTCCACTTCCCTGAACCACAGCTGGGAAAACCCATTTATAAATATTGTGCCTTCTGTTCAAACCACCAGCATTCCACTTTCTAGTTTTGCAAACTAGATCCCATCATTATAGAGTTAGAACTAAAAGCAGCCTGCAGCTTAACTCATTGTTGTATGAATTACAGCACTTTCTCACTATATAAATAATAGAATAACAACGCAGCTGAGAAGTTGCACTGTTGGCTTAGTCCCTTGCACTTCAAAGACTTGCGTCTCTTGAAAAGAAAAACTGAAGTTGAGAACAGAAGAAGAGTCTCTGTATGAAAACCTTGAGTGAAGATCAGTGGCATTTTTAGAGTGGTATAGTAGTGGGTACAGGTAAAGGCTTACGCATGCCTGTTGTCCCATTGGGTTAGTATAGTTAAAGTACACCAGTTCCTTTAGCCAGTTAAATATAAGGAAGTTATGTGGCTAGCCACCTCTGGCTGTCTTTAATTCTCCAGCTCAAATAACCAGGTACCCATTTACAGCTGAATTGACTAGGGGGCTGGCCTTTGGCAGGAGTCCAGAGCAGGCTCAAACATATGTCTTTGGAGCCATAGTAAGACACCTTAATTGCTCTGCTACTTTGTGCCTATAGCGAGTCTGAATGGGACTTTTAAAAATAAAATCTTTACATTTAACAATCGGCTCTTTACATAAACCGATAAGGCAGAAATGTAGTTTTTAATCATGTACCATCTGCCTATATTGAAAGTAGCACTTGAGGCACAGTGGAATAGTGGAGGTTCCAGTGTAAGTGGATATATCCCTTTTAATAAGGTAATTACTAACTTGTTTTGACTTGTTTTCAAATTATTGTTGTGAGTACTCCTCCCCCTAATTGCAAAATTGCTGCTTAATTGAAAGACTTTCAATCATTTCCTAGAGAAGTTCATAGGCTGACAAGCCCTGTTATATCCAACAGTGAATGGCAGCTTGAGGAAGAGTTTTTTAAGCTCTAAAGTTGAGCTTTACATATATTTATTCAACCTCTTGCTGAAATAAGAGATAATAGGGCAATAACTTAACATCTCTGATTCCAAAAAGGGAAACTGATTTGTGTGCAATATCCCACTTATTTATTAAAATAAGGAGGGGAAATAAAAGCAGTACAGATGTGCTTTTAAACAAGCTGCCTGGTGTGCAGCTGGTTCTAGGACTGGCAGCTGGTCCCCACTGTAACCACTGCCTGTCACGCTAACATATCTTGTATCATAGTTTTCCTTGCACTCCCTCACCTGTCCACATCCATCTGTTATATCTTGTTTTATGCTTAGATTGTATTCTCTTTGGGGCAAGGACAGTTTTCATTCTGTCTGCATGTACAACGGCTACAACATTAGGAGTTCCAATCATGGACCATTATTCCAGGCACTGTCAAAACATAAATAATGGACATTTAATAAATGCATTCAGTAGCTCTCATACTGCTTACATCGGTGTAATAGATGATGTGAAATTAAAACCTTATGTCAAATGGAGGCAAAGAGAAAAAAAGTTCTGGGACTAGAAACGTATTAATAAGACAGATGTCATATTAAAATGCCATGCAAACCATGTGCATACAAGTAACTTTACTCACATGAGTAAAGTCCTACGAGCAGCACTGTAAGTATCCATATGCCAAAATCCATGTCTAAATGTGTTTGTAAGACCCTAGTCTTAAATGTTTGATTATTCTCCAGAATAATGGAGTCAATCATCAGCTGCTGTAAGTCAGCCTTGCTGCATTCACTTCAGTTGGGCTATATTTACACTTAATGAATGTCTCACTCTTAGGATCTAAAATATAAAAGATACCAGGTGTTTGGCAATCATAGCATATAAACCAAAGTTCAATTGGCTGGGCAAAAGAAAAAGTTCATTTCAATAAGTATTTTTATTTTATAAATCACTCAAGTCTGTTAAGTGAAATGGGAGGGGTTTGGAAACATTCTGTCTTGTATCACAACTTTTAAAGCATAAAGAATTTGCTAAAATGAAACTGACTAGATGTGTTTGAAGTCCCTTATGTGACACTGATACTACCAGTAGCAGGGCATCCCAGCATAATCTAGGCATTGCTAATTGATACAGCTGTCTGAAGCAGAGTTCCACTGGACAGCTAGGAAAAGCAAAGGGAACTTCTCTTAACAGACTTCCGTGCTTCAACAGTGACAGCTGTCATAATGCAGCAGCAGTTGTGTATTTGTCTCATTAAGAATGGTGCATCTTTTGGGGAACCAATTCTCTTTTAAAGTACTTAATTAAGACTTTGGCAGCCATAAGAAATGAATGCCATGCTTTCAGTTCTGTACATTTGTTTCTATGTTGGGCCCTCTGACCTGCTTGAAACTTAACAGCTCTTTATTACTATTACAATTCATTATAAATAATTGGAAAATATTAGAGTAATTGGAAAAATACTCATGAAGGAATACTCATTGCAAAAGTCCAGATACTCAAATCAACAGATGCTTATCTCAAATTATGAGCTACTACTGCCACCTAGAGACGCATGCTACACATTTACAAGCTATGGCTAGCTCTTGCACGTGCAAACATTGCAGGTAAAAATAGTGAGGTGATCTAAGTCTTAGCTGCTCTTGATTAGGTTTAGTGGCACATGTGTTCCATGTTCTTATTTTTAAAATTCTTGTGGACTGTGGTCATGCTTAGGACTTTTCTGATGAAGCAAATGACTATCTTTACCCACTCTTTATGTTGATTAATTAGATAAACAAGGAGGATTGCTTTCAGTAAATCAGGTATTTGCTTAACTTCAAGTTATTGCTAGGGAAATATTTGCAAGTCAAATAGGTCTAGTTTTGTTACAGGTGGCACTGAGAGTTGATCATGTGTACTAAGCTGCACCAAATACATGGAATGAAAAATGCCTTCAAGGATCTGACATTTTGTTTAAATGAAAACCCATTAGAAAGGAAATTTGCTTTCATGGGACTTCTTTCAGAATTGTTTTTGATGTTCTGCCTCTGTGCAATCTTTTCCCCATTTAAGTCAGTCGCACAACTTCCGCTGATTTATAATAGGCCCAGGATGTTGTCCACTCTCTCTAAATTCACAACTGATCGTTGATGAGTACTGCTGCTGACTGGTTAGATTGCCTCGTCTTCATTCTGTGCCCAAATTCCCCTTAACTTTTTCATGTTTCCTTCTGGCTGATGGAAACTATCAGCTATGGTAGCTGTTTTCCAGCTACAAGTGTGACAAAAATGCTATTCCTTGTTCTAACTGTCAGGAATTGCTCATAGTGGAGGCATCACAGGGGATGCCTGTGGAGGAGTACCCCCCCCTTTCGGCTTTTTTTTCCTAGAACTCTTGTACAATTATTTCTCCCTCAGTTCATTACGAAACCTGTTTTGGAGACTTGGTTAGACTACTGATAGGCAGTGGGCAGTTGCTGAAATAAGGGTTTTCAGTGTTACCTAAGGGAGTTTGTTACACAAATCCACTGGAATTCAATGCAAGTTGATAGCTGTTACATAACTATGAAAATTCCCCAGTGATTGGTCTGTAGATCCTATGTGTACATTGCATTGTGCATCTCTAAGGATAGTTTTAATTATTTCTTGCAACCTTTAGAATTCGCAAATACAAACACACAAAATATGTGACGATGGACAATGATCTTGTGATGTCTGCGCTCTCTGACTTCCAGCGTA